GCGGCCCGTGAGCCCAGGGGTGCCCCGTTGTGGCCCTGTCACACACTCCACTCACACTCACACCACCCGAGTCTTCAGCTGCTCTCACAGCAGGGCGTTTCGCAGCGGGCTGCTCACAAACCATTCAGGGCCATTCGCTCTGTTAGGCAGCTCACCTTGGTCATCTTCTGATCCTTGTCCGCCACCGCTACATCTCTGTCCAGGACGCAGGTCTCAGCTTCCCACCAGCCTCTCTCCAGCTCATCCAGGTCTCCACTCGGCCTTCCTGCCAACACACCACACATTGAGACATTCCTTGTGCTCTTACCCAAGAATTTATACCACGCTGATGCCCTCATTTCTCAGCACTGCCTTCATGACACACGAGAAGTTCTTCTCTGTGATTCCTGCCTGAAACCCTAAGCCCTACCGCAGGAATGGCAGCACCTTCTGTCAGGAGGGAGAGTGGGAGAGCCAATCCAGGAGATCTATGGCCTGCCTGTGCCCCGTGAAATGTCTAGGTACAGGTAGTCCTTGGGGACGCTGACTCGCATGACAGGGGTGCTGGGCACGAGCATTACTCAAGTGACACACAAGAGGTGCGGGGAGCAGATGCGCAGCAGGGCTGAGGAGGGAGCTGGGCACTCACTACCACTAGCTCTACTCGAGACGCTTGTCAGGACCCGTCTCGAGCAAAACCATCTTCAGTTTCCTGGCCCACCTCCTTTTACCTCAGGCTACAGTCAGGGCCCCTGCGCCCCCAATCCCAAACCCAACCCCAGGCCTGCAGCTCTGGAGCCAGCGCCCTTCACTGCTGCACTGGGCAGGGGTCGCACCGCACTGAGGAAAATTTGATCACTGGAGAACCACGTAGGAGAGACCTGGACTTGCCTAGCAGAGCAAAAATCAAGATGCTCTTGTCTGCCTGAACACCACAGCACAAATGACAGCAGCTCTGCTGTCCTAGCCCAGCCAGCGCAGATCTGCACGGGCGAGCTTTGCGCTCTGGCTGAAACCCTGGAAACGGGAACCCAGGGAGAAGGTTGGGCCTCCAGTAGCAGAGCCACACTGAGCAGCGGGGCTCTGCTTTGGGAAGCCACGTGGCCAGCAATTGCTCCCTACCCATCATTTGACACAGGTCTGTACCTCTTATTCCTTTTTCTGTGTTTTTCACTGACAACTCCCTGACACAATCATGCCATAGGAAGAGGACTCACTCTGCACCCAGAACATGAAGTGTTTCTATTTGATTATGACAGCTGAGAAATTGTCTCCTTAGGAGCTGGACACCCACTCCAAAAGAGAGGCACATGCGCCCAGACCAGCAACTCAGCCATCTCTGCTGTTTCAAGTTTGGGTTTCCTTACTACTTTCCACCCTTATCCCTGTTTGCTTTAACATTGTTGTAACTCCTGCCACAAAATAGGTATTGACAAGGAAGGCTGTGGAGTTAAGGGGCAGCCTGGAGGTGCAAGGATCTTGCAGTGGTTTGCTTTTGGCTTTCCAGCTTTCTGCAGACACAGCCAGGACCCCCTTCTAGCATCAAGCTCACACCAGCTGCTCTGGCTCAGTCTTCCCAGGGCCAGGCTTGCGCCTTCTCTGTGTTGTGAACCAGCCAAGCACTGCCCTTCAGCTTTGATGGASAGGCAAAGGGGTAACAACCACAGCTGCTGAGTTCCACCAGCCCCATCCACATGGAGGGAARGAGGGAAGCAGGAAGGCTTGTGGAGGCACAGGCAGTAGCCTTGCTTTGCTAAAATGGGCAGGACAGTCTTGCTTTACCTCCACTACCTACCTATGGAAGGGATGTATTTGCAAAAGTGTACATCAAGGACAAAGCCTACCAGGCCAGAGCTGAGCAGGAATGGGGAAKGACACCTATCCAACCCCTCTGGCTGGACTGTGAATATCCCTCCCCCAAGGCACTGGGCTGCAGGAACACCTTGTTGCTGAGGCCCCACTAATTTCAGGGACAGGACAGACACCAGCACTGGTTGGCTCCTTGCAAGGAGAGTCCCTCACACCCTCAAGTTGAAGAAATGCCCCCGCCCTTTATTGGTACAATAACAAACTCCATTTAGTTATTTATTTCACAAGCTGATCTCTTGAACAACCCCATCAGCTAACAGTGGATGAAATCACAGGGTTTACACAGGTGAATAAAATCAGCCAACTGAAGGCCAGGGGCTGCTGCCCCTCTGGTTTATTCTCTTACTATCTCCTTTAATGTGAGAGCAGCACAAATTTAAAACTTAACACCATAGGCTGGGGCAAAGCTCAGAGAAGTGAACAACTTCCCCATTCAGGCGTGGAGGTAGAAAAACCCTAACATTGAGTGTGTGTGGGGATAAATAAAAAAAACAAAAAAAAAAAGATCAAAAGGAATAGGGCCTTTATTTGAGTACAGTCTCTTCAACGAAATAGGAAAGAAGGGTACATGACTTCCTGGTGGTGCTTTATTTTTCCCCTCCTTGCTCAGGCTTTTAAGGGCTTGGCCATCCTTGAAGACTCTTGGACACAGTGAATTCAGCTCTCAGGAAGCCCAGTCTCTATTCCAGTGCTCAGAAAAAGCATCACTAAGTTGTCAAGGGAGACAAAGTCAGCACAGAGAGTCCCTCCCATGCATAAAACCTTTTCACTCTCCTTCCTAGGGAGCTCAGGTCTAGGGTGCTTTGCTCAAGTGCCTCCCTCCCATCCACRTGGGACACTGCAGTGCTCTGCACTCAACAGTCAGGTACAACCACCTAGAGCTACCACTGCTTGCACCCACCTCCGCTCCCCTCCCACCCCAAATACCTCTGCACCTGGGGGTTACAGGTTATGCTGATACAGAAAAGCTCAACACATCCACAGCCTCCTCARAGTGCCCATTTCAAAACTATGACCAGCCTCAATGAAACCCAGGTTACCCTCTGCATTAACAGGCACTATTTGTTTAACAGCACCATAAGGGAACTCCTTTTGACACTTAAAGGTCAGCTCAGGGGCTAGCTTAAGGTTTCAATTTTTTTTCCATGTGCTAGGAGAAGGTGTCCAACCAACTTGTCTTAAGAGACACAACTGCCTTGGATAAGCACTATCAGGGACACAGCTCTGCTTCTGTCCTCAGGAAGTTAGGTCCAGCTCCCTCTCACCTGACGATGTCACACCAGGGCACAGGGACAACCTGAGGACAAGAAATGAACACCAGGTTCTCCAACAACTCCACTCACTAGCTAGGCTGGGGAGGCAATTGCAGAACTGCTCCCCTTGTAAAATGTTCATGTACTGGAAGAGAACTCCTTCCCACCTCCCACCCCAGTACCCCCCTTAGCAGGCTGACCCTCAGGGACACTGCCCACCCCACCCATGTGCCCTCCCCTCCTCAACCTGAGGTCCCTGGAAACAAGACTTCTAATTTGGTATCATGGAAGCTATGACTTGGAGCCCATCCTCACTTTCTCTTCCCATTCCTTGGAAAAGGATCAAGGGATGCACTAACTGCCTCCCCTCTCCAAAACTGTCCCACCTGTAGCTTGATTTTTTGGTCTCCCCTCATGGCAAGTTTTTCCACCAGTTCAAAGCCTGAATGCAACCCTAGGTTTTTTTTTTTTGATAAGTTTAAGTATTGAAGAGGAGCAATCAACTCCCAGCCATAACTCTGTAGCAGAGGTGCAGTCCAACTACACTTTCAAGCCTGCTTTTGCTAGGCTTGGAGACTACCACAAGACCAAGATGTTAAATAGGAACATTCAATCTAGCATTTACATYAAGTCTCTTCCCATTTTAGGCAGGATTTGGGRAWCCCTCACTTWACWCACACATAACACTAGCTCTGCTCWGAGYTGCAGCCTCTGTTTMACAGCTCTAGCTGTCTCATTACTCCTTCACATGTTTATAACAAGGTTGAGTCAACATGACCTTCACAACCCACTCTGATAAGTTAACACACCTGTCAAGAGAGAGACTGCAGTGTATCAAGCTCCTGAAGTCTGCAATGTGGTAGCTTTACTTACTTGGACTGAATTACCTAGACAATACACCAAACAATTTCATGTTTTGACATCTTTTCTACTTCATCTGAACTAGGCAAACAGCCTCTAGAGTTAAAACACTTCATAAGGTAAAGTTTCTAAAAAAAACTTACACTCACCTTAAAAATGTTTCCAAAGCCACTTATTTTTTTCTGCTTGTCCAAGAAGAGCAGCTCAAAAGTTGTGCTTGGAAAACCTAAAAAACAACACTTGGTTAGTGCTAGACCCCTTTCACCCTGTATTTTCCTCTCCTGCCCCATTCACAGGCCTACAACCCATATACCTGTGAACTACTGGCAGCCCCCAGCCCAACTAGAGGCTTCCACAGCTGTAACACTGACCAGGTGATTTGATTAGGGCAGACCATTCCTGATACATGCTTCTAAGGGCTACAATAACCTCAACAGAAGCTTAGAGATGATGGTCTTCTTTATAAAGAGACAAATGGCAGCAAAAAAGCCAAATTCACTCATTAAACACTACCTCATATCTTAAAAAAGCAGAAGTTTTTGTGACAAATGAAAAGATGAGTAGGGCCAGTTATTTCAAAAGGCTATTGAACTACTTACTCTGGGTTCTTTTTCTTGAAGCTTTTGCTACATAATAGCTTAAGTAGAAAGAGCCAGGGAAAAACACTTTAATTACCTTGTATTAGTATTTAAAACATCTCACCTTCTGTAATTCAAGACACAATCACAATGGAGTTATCAATAGAAAGTCTTCATAGAAAAAGTTACTCCTGAAATTTGAAAAGAGATGATTAAAAAGTCTTTTTTAAAACACTGCCTTCAGATCTGGCCTATTTCCTCATTTACAACATAAATAACAAAAGCAAATAACATTTTCAAACAACAAAAAACTGGTTATCTTAAAGAATAAAAAGCCTCTGTCTATTACTTTCAGCTTCTTTGCTTTGGCTAATAAAAAAAGCAGAAAAATTTTTTCTTTGGCTGGGTAAGACATTAAGAGAAGTTTCAAATAAAAGCTTACCTTTTCCTTTGGAAGACAGAAGACCTCCTGCCTCTTAATAACTCTACAGAACACCTACCAAACTTACATGACTTCTTGTCACACAAATAAGGATTTGCCTCAAAAGCAACATCATAAAGATCCCAAAACCCTTAAAAACACAATAAACTGAAACACCCAAAAAAAAACCTCAAAAATGCTAAAACATTATGACTTCTACTTGATTATTTACCTGTAATACAACACCCTATACAATATGAAAATCAACAATAAAACCACCCCCAGAAAAAAAATAATGCTAAAATACAGAAATTTTAAAAAACAAAAAAACCCCTCTCTCTTCTAAAACTTAAGAAACATAACAAAAATAAAAAATTATGGACTTCACCCATGCCTCCAGGCCATCTTAAATAGAGGCACGCGGCCAATGGGCAGCGCAGAGGCGGGCGGAGGCCCCACGGGATTCTGGGTGGGAAGCCCCGGCTGAAGCTCGTTAGGGCAATTAGGGGCTCTCAGGGCCCTGTTCCTTGTATTCAAACACAATATGTTTTGTCTACGTTACAAATAAACAAAGCTTGATAATGGTTTTGTTCACGTAGGCACTTAGATCTGCTAAGCGTTTAGCCTTGCCTGCCCCCACAGGCCTTGGCTCCGGCGGCAGCGAGAGGCTCCCTCCAAGAGYCGCYCGCGGGCGATGGAGAGAGAGGAGCCTCCGGGAAGGCGCGAGCGGCCGCGCGTGGGGCCGCGCGACACGAGCAGCCAGCGCCCCGGCTGCTGCGCGCGGGGCCGGGCTGCCCGGCCGCGGCCGAGCGCTCCCAGC